ATATAAATTGCATGTAAGTTAATTACAATTTTTCCATATACTCTATTCATGTAAAATACACGTACAATACTCTTTTTAATTTCATTATATATGTACTTTCTACAATACTTCGTATCACGCATGTGGAAAATAATGTACACGTATCGTATATGTATAGATTACACAGATAATCACTTTTCTGCAAGTCAGAACTTTTTCTCTTCGTTATATATCACAAATCTTTTTCCTATCGAGGTAAAAGTAGAAATGAGATAGAAAGATAGGAAGAGAAAGAGAGAAAGAGAGAAAGAGAGAGAGAGAGAGAGAGAGAGAGAGAGAGAGAGAAAGAGAGGAAAAGGATCGAGTAACCGTACGGAAACTCGTCACGATACTTGTATTTTAATTAATCCCCTTCCATCCACCAGGAACGTCGTTCGTCGTCGTTTTCAGCGTCGTTTTTGAGCTTAACGAAGCTTAACTATGGTAGGTGGACCCAAAGAGAGAGAGAGAGAGAGTGAGAGAGAGAGAGAGAGAGAGAGAGAGAGAAAGAGAGAGCAATGTGCGCGTTCGCGCATGCTTTCGTAATTTTATCTCGAATATTAGCGATACTCATTCAAAGTGTTCACCTTCATCTCTCTCTCTCTCTCTCTCTCTCTCTCTCTCTCTCTCTCTCTCTCTTTATTTATCTATATCTCTTTGGGTGATTTTAGTTGTTATTTGAAACAAATTTAGACTAGTTTACCGCGATCGCAAAACTTTCCTTCGGGCGAGGAACGTTATTACGCGAATTTACGAGAAACGATTCTATTCCATCTCAGCTATTCTTATCCTTCTTATTCACTTCCTCTTTTTCATTTTCTTCTATGCCAAGCATGCCGAGCCTTTATTACAATTTTTCGTCGCGCTTTCGAGCGGAAGTCAAACCCTCCCCTCCACTTTACCATCACCCTTACTATAAGTTTATTCAATTTTCTTTCCAATTTATTCAATGGAAGATACTCCATTAAAAAAATTGGAGAGAGATCGGAGTGGGCTTTAGTGCGGGACGTAAAAGGAATTGAAGTGGAAAAGATTAAGCGGTGGAACGGCTACGAAATTAATAATCCGGTATAATCCATTATAAAGATAATGCGACTTCGCCGCTAGCTGGTGGTTACTTATTTCCTTCTTGACCTAATTACGCTTTCTCTTCTTTTCTTTTCCTTTCTGTTTTTTTTTTTTTTTTTCATTGTTTTTTATCGTTTCTTTTTTTGTTTCTTTAATTACCACTACTTTCCAATCGATCGTTAGCGTAAAAAGAAAAATATTAATATCGAGATTGTTACAAAGAGAAGTTATTTTCAGAGGAGATCTTTGTAGAAAAAATAATAGAAGTTCGATTCTTGTTGCATAAAATGTATAAGTTCGTTTAAACGTAGATCAGGAATATGTGTTAGTTATACATGAATAATTTCTTCTCCCCCACCAATTGTAGTCGATTATCGTAGTTCGAACGCACACACCTAATATCGCGGTCGATCGACTCGTGAATACGTTCTATACCTCTATCGAAGGAGAATGCGCTCAAGTCACTCCTGTGAGAAGGTTATTAATTGACGATGTTTGTATACTATAGATTTACATCAACGTTCTAATGTATTAGTAACGTGAAACGCAAAGAGTGAGATATATGTACGTATATATGTAATACATACTGTTAGTACATCAATGATGCCAATATGTAATCAATGTCGATATGTGACATATCGGTCAGGCATGTGGTCTGATAATTATCATGAAAATTAAACCCGAGTCGTTTGTTCTTGATTGCAAAAGGACTTTCTCCGTGTCTTCAAAAGGGAAGTGTAATCAAGAGAGAAAGAGGGAAAGATTGAGAAAGGAAAAAAACTAGTCTTTGTGTCGTAAGAAAAATCTTCCCTTGGACGTTCGCAATTATTTAAGTGGGATTTCAGGCGTAGTAAGAAGAAGAAGAAGAAGAAGAAGAAGAAGACGACGACGACGACGACGACGACGATGTTGCGAGCGACGCATCTTCGTCTCGGCTTCTCCCACTAAGAGTCGCTACAGTGGCTTCACTTAATTAATCGGTTTACCCTACCTCCGAATAATTAACAAAATTACGACACTATCTCCTTAAACGCACGGACGCCCATTCTGGAAACTCACTTTCTCTCTATCTCTATGTATATATATTCTCTTTCAAGACGAAGCTTTCTAAGCTTTTCTCCAGGACTCGTTTTCCTTTCTCGTCTTCTTCCTCGTCGTCGTTGTATTTCGCAAAGCTGTCTTAATGGACTCTTCGTATCCTCCCGCCTGTTTCTCTTCTGCTATTGTTCCATGAACCACGGATTATATGGTTTACCTTTCACCAGATCCGCGGCCCTTTTCCTTCATTGATGTCGTAACCCACTTGATTAAAATATTTACCATGGTATGAATTTTCTTTTATTCTTTTCCTTTTTTTTCTTCTCGCACTTTTCATTTTTTATTTATCATTTTCTCTCTCTCTTTCTTTCTCCCTCCCTCTCTTTTTCGTTTTTAATTCTGACATTTTTTCAGTTCCATTCATATACATGAATTTAATTATGCCAATACTCAAATTGCATTTGAAAATAGTTTTTTTTTTTCGGTTTGTTAGTCAAATGATGTGACTGTCCTTTTATAGCCGACACTTAAGATTTCTTTTTAGCATGAAATATCAAATTATCGTTAATTTTTAATACCAATGTGTACTTTTACTCGACAAACATGGCGAACGATCCGTCTATGAATTTAATAGTGAATCTGCCTATTTATACGAATTTCAGATCAATAATATCAAGTTTGATTTATATTTTTGTATAAACGTTGATATTGATCGAATGTTTAATACTTCTATTACTGCGGGCAATATTGATAAGTGATACTCAATTTCAATATTTATTTCATTTTTTTTTTTTTTTTTTGAGGATTGCGTACGTTTATTCTAACAAAAATAAAGTTCTGTTGATGCTATGAATTTGATTAATATGACGTCTAAATTCATATCATTCCACATATATAATGTATTAGAATAATATATGTATTAGAATAGTATAAATGCAACGAGTATTAAAAATATATATGATTAATTTCGTCTTATTCGAAAAATGTAAAAAAATTATTCTCATGTCATCGTGTATATGATAAATCGACGAAATTTTTTTCAGTAGAGCGTTGATTCGTTCGCGCTGCGATTGAGAAACAACAATGCGAATAACTTACTCGCATTCACCTTAATTCTCGTTCGTTCCATACCTCTTTGTGATATCTCGCCGGTGCGTTTTGTGCATGGCTGCTAGCAATTACTGAATGGTCTGTAATCTACACGCAATCATGGCTCGCAACAGTGAATGCGTTCTCGCTTCTGCGTTCGCGCACTCACTGCAACCCTCTCTGCAAGAGCTCGAATTCTCATTCCCGTTGTATCCGTTGTCCCTCCATCCTCTTCCTTCCTATTTTCCCTTTGTTCTCGGACCAATGACCGGGAAGGATACACGATAACTAACAGTTCGAATCTCTCCGAATATACAGCCCGTCGCGCATACGTTTGAATTCACTGTTATACATGTAACCCAACTTCAACAAAGTATTTCAGATCAGTAAAAGATTATTCTTCATATGTATACGTATTAATAAATATACTTTCTGAAATAATGAAAATATGCAACAGATATAGATTCAGTAATAAGTTTTCTTATTATTGAAATATATGAAAAATATATAATAATCGGCGGGGGGGGGGAAGGAGGAAACAAATGAATTGTGATAATTATTTCAAAATGAAAATTGTCTGTAATTTTTTTACGTTTTTTTAACTTTTTCATTCGAAACAGAAAGGCTAACGATTACGATTCGCAGTCATAAAAACAAAATAATACTTCAAGTTATCACAAATATTCTTATAGAATCTTGTGTATCTTTAATAAAAATACATTTTTAAAGAAATTAAACAGATTGACCTCTTCGTAATAAATAAAAAAATGATGAATTTAATCGAGAACACATATTATGAATGTTTATTTACTTTCATTCTACGAACTCGATTCTGCGAGATGATGAATAAAACCAAATGCTTTTTCAATACAAACCAATCTTGATATCATGTAAGGGTATTGATGACCTACATAAATTTAATTCAACGAATCAATGACAGATAGATTTTTTTTTTCTTTTTTTTTTTTTTTTTTTTTTTTGAACAGATTTCATATATTTTAAAGAGATCACTGACATATATAAATTCTTAGAATTTGAATAAATTGTGGAAAAATCAATAAATGAATAGGTATGCTGTCCATACGTATATTTACATATTAAAAGTATCGTTGGCCTATATAAATTTTTAAAATTTAGTTTGGCAGATCAAAGATGTATTTTCTATAACTGATATGCGACGATATTTTTGACTTAGATCAATTTTTGAAATTAGACTCATCGTTCAATGTATTTTAGGATACGTCTTGTTATCAAGCCTTTATCTTCGAAATTGAAAAATAATATTTTCGTTAATTTTTCAATCGTTTAAAACTCATTGTAACTTTTTTTTCTTAATAATCGCGTGTTTTCTTAATAAAGCCGATTAAAAATGAAACTTAATCGAAATTAGAATATAAAATAGTATACATTGTCAAAGGGATGGATATAGAGGTATCGTTTTAGCTATAAAACGTACAACAAGATAAATTAAACGTTCCTGTTTTTAGCGTTCACCGTGTACGCAATTTATATTTTGTAATTGCTCGCACGAGATCACCCTCTCTGTTTATAGTGCACACCGATGGCATGTCACCGAGCAAAATACATTAGATTCGTTTTCGTTACATTTTATTGCGAATAACGCGAGAGAAATGTAATTTTATAACAAAATTTTTTTCGTTATGGATGAAAGTCGTTTGCATACGTTGAACTATGATAAATGAATGTCTATGTGTACGTGTGTGTGTGTGTGTGTGTGTGTGTGAGACTGAGGCTGCATTATACAATACAATTATATTCTTTGCATTTGCACTCAAAGGAATTGAGAAAAATGAGGATGTACTATTATTTTTTTCGTTCTTTTTTTATTCATTTATTTATTTATTTATTTATTTATTTATTTATTTATTTTCTTTTTTTTTTTTTAATTCATTGCGTACGAAAATTGCGGTTAAAAAATACGTATCCGTAGATTTGACAAAATCAGAAACATTCATCTTTTTTATGTCTGTTTTTCTCTTTTTTATGAAACGACCATCGAGCAATGAGTAAACGTAGACAACAACAAACGGTTTTTAATGTATGAAAAAAAAAAAATGATTGCCGAAAAAGAATTTGGACAACGATAGCGTGTCTTTTTCCAACGAATAAACCGTGCCTAATCTTCGATATCGGCTTTCCGCAGCCATCAAATTGGCACGAGTCCGAGTTTTAAAATTCGATTAGTAATCCCACTCCGTTTATTCAAAAATCTCTCCATTTTTGTTACTAATTTTATCATTGACAACTAGTGGTTACAATGCCGATATTTATGTAAACGAGAGAGTTTTGTTCCTTTTTTTTTCGTTTATTTTTTATCTTCTCTCTCTCTTTCTCTCTCTCTTTCTCTCTCACTCTCTCTCTCTCTCTCTTTATAAAACAACGCGTAGGTAGGCGATATCGTTGAGCGATCAGGCGTATTCATCAGATTCGCGAAAAGAAAAATGGGCATCCTTCCATAAAGGGAATGGATCGCTCGTCTATGAATATTTTTGAATATATTCACCGTTATTATTTTGCATCCGTTATTTGAAAACTCGACTGACGCTTTCCTCGCCTTAATATATCTATATTTTATACGTAGATTCGAAGTTGAGGAAGATTTAAGAAGAAGAAATAAAAAGAACCTTCTCTTTGATGGCTTATATACTTTCGAAAGGAATCATAGATATCGGTTACGATTTCGTTCTTAAATTATGCGATTTTCTCTATGAAAAGAACTGTTTTACCTTTTTGTGATTTTAATAGCTTTCAAAAATGATCTATATTAATATTAAATTTTTATAAAAAAAAAAATAAAAAAAAAAAAATAAAGAAAAGAAAAGGCGATATTATATCATTAAGTAATTTTGAACGTCGGCCAATTGTCTATTTTGAAATAAAAATTAAAATCAAAATCAAAAAATGATTACTCACGAGCATAAACAATGAGCGGCAGTGAGAATGAATCTTGAATTGAGTATAGTACCGCCGCAAAAATGGCCACCTTTTCTCGTGATACTGACCAACCAAGGAAACTCTCGCGGTACCGCGTTTTGTCCTCCAACGATCCTGGCCGTCCGAGTTCCGCTTTCTCCACGACCGCACGGGACATCTGCCACTATTATTAAATACAAATTTTCAAGTTAATACTCAATAACAATTAATTAATCCTGACATTGTTTCAATGAGCTAAACTTTCGTTATAATACCAAATTTACATTTACATTCAATATTGACGATCATTAATTTAGATAAAACGTAGCATTGTAATAAATAATTTCTAATTTCTATAACGTTTTTATACATGATTTAAGAATTCTAACTTTTGTTTTATTTTTAGCGAATGCCGAAGTATAAAGTGAAAATATTCTAATTAGACTTTTTTAATGAACTCATTTATGAAATGAATTCAAGCGTGTCCCTCTAGTATGGAACAACGCGTAAACCGAAAATTCAGAGGAGTTAAATAACATCTCAGCCGTCGCGTTAATACGAAACTTTTTAATGCCTTCGTTCTAAGCCACGTTTACTCTAACATCGGCGAGATATTATTTCCGTGCCAGCTAATTAGCGTTCGCATCATTAGTTTCAGCTACTCTCTCTCTCTCTCTCTCTCTCTCTCTCTCTCTCTCTCTCTCTCTCTCTATCTCTATCTCTATCACTATCTCTATCTCTATCTATTTCTTTCCCTCTACGTCCAAAATAAAATAAAAAGTTAGTTAGACTTTCTACGGTATCTTCTATTCCTTACTCTCACGAGTAATACTTTTTTTTTTCTATCCGGGAAAATTCAATTGTACATTGTTAAAACAAACTAATATTTTAGTCGGGTTTTTGCAATTACCTTTACGGTTCGTTGCTTTAGCCTGTCTCGTTTATCTAAAATGGATAACGAACAGAATAATAAGAAAAATGAAGGGAGAAAAATAAAAAAGAAATAAAAAGAAAAAGAAAAAAAAAAGGAAAAAAAAAAAAACAAAAAAAAAGAAGAAAATGATCTAATACAGATTTACGATCGTGAAAATAAACGGTCGATAAACGGTAAAGGGAAGAAAGGAATTTTATCGAATACTTTTAAACAAATCGGATCAGAGATAGGATCGTTTGAAAGTATATAAGGCCGTTCTATTTTTCACGTCGATATTAATCTGTCGCGCGAAACTCGTCGAGCATCGATCGTTCGACGCCTCCTTGCAATTCGACGATTAATGTCCGGAACGTGTCCGCGATCGGTTAGCTACTTCCTGCTGCGATTCCGGTGGGGATAGATAAAGGGATGACATTACGTTCGATATTACAGAACATAGTACACGCAAACGAGAAAGAGAGAGAGAGAGAGAGAGAGAGAGAGAGAGAGAGAGAGAGAGAGAGAGAGAGAGAGACAGGAAGAGAGACAGAGATAGAGGCAAAGATAGAGAGAGAAAGAGAGAGAGATAGAGAGAGGAAAGAGAAAAAATAAATTACGTTCCAACTTTTCCGTGCACTGCATTTACTGACCTTACCTTACGGATAACGGATACGGTAATTCTGATTGATTGCAAAACTTTTCCTTGCGGATATGGACTCTACCCTGGTAATCTCTCAGCTTCTTTTTCTTTTCTGGAATCCATCTTACGTCGGAACGAACGAACGAACGAACGAACGAACGAACGAACGAACGAACGAACGAACGAATGAACGAACGATGGAACGAACGAACACCGGTTATTACGGTACGTTCAGTCTCCGAGAGATAACCGACAGTTCTTAGGCGAACGATATTAAATAATTACGAACAACGCTTTAATTTCTTTTAACATTAATTCCCGTCCATCTCTCTCCCTCTCTCTCTCTCTCTCTCTCTTTCTTTCTCTTTCTTTCTCTCTCTTTCTCCCTCTTTGTTTTTCTTCTCATACATTTGTTCTTTTTTTCCTTTTGTTAATTGAGAGAAAAGCGAGAAGGGAATTTCGAAGAGCATTAAAATGTAGGTGGAAAAAAAGCCGGTTATGAAACGTGCTTTTCGATCGAGTCCGCGCAAAATGAATTAGGTTGACGTGTTTGCATCGAAAAATAGGTAAAAGAAGAGAAAGAAAATATTCTCGTGCACAGAATCAACAGGTAATTCCCAGTGCATTAGATAAATCTCCGGTGGCGTGTGTATATCCTTGCAACTACGAATGTAATAATCAATCGATCGATTGCCTGACGAATTCCATTTTCGATTGTGTGCTATTCCGCTCGTATCGTACCTTCATTCTAAATACTAAAAGGAAAGAGAGAGAGGGAGAGAGAGAAAGAGAGAGAGAGAAAGAGAAAGAGAGAGAGAGAGAAAAAAAATTGACGCGTGGTAGATAGACAGACAAATAAATTTAAAATTATTCAGATATTCTTTGTCTTTTCGATCTCTGTTTTCACACAAATATAATATCCTGTTCATTCGACAATTATTATTGAACATGCGTGGTTATCAAGTGCGAATAAAAATTCATAAAGCTGTTTTTATTTTTTCTTTTCTTTTTCAGTCAACGCTCAATTTTCATGCATTCGTTCATTCAATCCTTCGCGTTAATCGGCTTCTGTTTTGAAAAACGTGTGCGAAACGTGATTGAACTCGATAACACCCATGAAAGCCTTTTTTCCAAAGCCAGTTTTTCCCCCAATAATATGTACTACGTATGTACGTACATACGTAGGTAGATAGGTACATACACACGTAGTTTGGGTATTCATTAATCGAACACAATCAATTGTTAACGTGCAATCTAGAAATACGTGTATCTTAGCAGAATTCACAACAATATTCTATTTACATTGTATTTATCTATCTAAGAAATTTCGCGAATTGTACCATTTTCGAAAAATTATACTCATCGTTTTTTACTTTGCAATAAATATTACGATTTTGTAATCTTCGCTTGATCTTCCAAAAATCAATTCATTAAACGTTTACAATTCGCTTCCTTTTTATATCGATCGAATACAAATTCTTTTTCAGAAAAAATATCAATCACGTACGAATTAATTTATGAGTTAAAGTTGACTTTCGTTAGCTGGTTTCATCTGTCGGTTTTCAGACTGGAAGTGTGTATAAGTTCAAAAGACAAATATATATATATATATATATATATATATATATATATAAACAGAGAGAAAGAGAAAGAGAAAGAGAAAGAGAGGGAAGGACAAGAACTTGAAACGAAACGTTTCGAAGCGGTCCTCGAAAAAGCTCATAGTATCACTCGCCGTTAGATTCAAGAGCTGCGTATCTACCTCGATCGTCCGCGTTTAATTGAAAGCTGAATCGACGCGTACAGGAATGTTAACCGGCTTGAGAGAATCTCTCTCTCTCTCTCTTTCTCTCTCTCTCTTGGAGCTATACCAGCACGGCCACTGGCGTCGCACGAATTTAATGCTCCGAACAGATAGGGATAAATACGACGGATCTGTCAGCGCAATCCCTGCGACAGTACCTCCTCCGGTCCTCCTCCCTTTCTCTTCATCCTCCTCCTCTAACCTTCGGCCCTTCTCGTTTCACGCCCCGGCTGATTAATTGGACCTCTACGTCTGCTCCAGCTCGATCCTCCTCGCCCTTTCTCCTCTTCTCGATATCCCCTTCCCTTTCACTCATCCCTCCTCTTTCTTCCCTCTCTCCCATTCTCTCTCTCTCTCTCTCTCTCTCTCTATATATATATATATATATATATATATATTCTGTATATGTGTATATGTATAGCTCTCTTCCTCTCTCTATATCTATCCTTTACGGAAGCGAAAGGGCCACGAAGGGAAGCGACGCATAGAATTTGAAGTCGTCTCTATTTGGTAATGCGTAATAGATATGTCAGAAGCAGATTCAACATGGTCATGATAATATGCTGGTGCTATAGATTATACATTCTCTATCTCTCTTCATTCTCTTCTCTCTCTCTTTCTCTCTTTCTCTCTCTCTCTCTCTCTCTCTCTCTCTCTCTTTTTTCCTTTTTTTTTTCTATGCAGAAGAGAAAGAGTTTTCGTCACCCTCCACTCGTTTGATATATTACAAAGATATCGAACACTTTTCATTCTTCTCAGATACACCTATTTTTCTCTCTCTCTCTCTCTCTCTCTCTCTCTTTATCTCTTTCTTTCTTTCCGTCTCTCTCTTTTTCTCGTTTTTCTTTTTCATCTTTGTATTTGAAAATTTATCCTACAGACGTGTCGAGGAAAAAAGTCATGGATTACTAGGACAGCCGTTTATAAGAGCTTTGTCATTGGTGGAATCCGCGATGAAAATCGATGTGAGAGTCGTTTGGGTATTCTCTTTTTTTTTTCCGAATGATATTTTATTTCTTCAAAGAGAATACGAGAGGGAAAGGGAATAGAAAGAGAAAACTAAATAAATTTCTGACGAATGAAGATCACCTCGTATCATTAAATAAAATTCTTTAGTTTCACACGAATAATTCGCATATTCAATAAGTAATCTTTTTGTTATTAATATTTCATTAAATAAATTAATAGATATGAATTTTAAAACGTTCATCGCGCGAGTGTCGAAACGCGCTTATAGAATTAAAGATTAATGTATGCTGTTATGTTAGTCAAAAATAATAATCCCTGTGATAACTTGAAACAATAATAGAAATCTAAACGAACGACATTTGTTCTTTATTTTACAGTTAGTGAGAATTAAAGTATTAAATTTTATATCTGTGAATGTATCATCTTTTTATTTGTAAGCATAAGTCGAAACTTTAAAAAACAAAATTTGAAAAATAAATTGAAACGAATGAATAGATTTAATTGTACTTTAGTAATATCATCAGACAGTAATAAAAACTATATCGTTAAAATATGTAGACAAGTATGCGTTCACGAAAATTTAAATGAACGATAATATATTAATATTAAAAAAAAGAGAGAGAGAGAAAGAGAGAGAAAGAGAGAGAAAGAAAATGAATTGATTACCGAGTAAAAAACAAATAGAAAAGATTGCGTCAGAGGTTAAAAACCTTTTTAGCAATGTGTCCGTCAGCGAATCGTGACATTGAAACGGTTGTTGACAATAGCGAGCAAAGTCGATGCTCTCGCGAGGTCTACTATGACTTTCGACTTTTGTCAAGGTTGAATAATCATTCTTTCCTATTCTAGTCGCACCCACCTTCCGCCATGCACCCGTGCCCATGAAGCGGGGTATTATCTTTTCTTCGTAACGTGACTCACCGTTTGCCAAAATCCTTGCTTCCTCGTACTAAAAGTATAGGAGGCGACATTGACACGACGAAAATATTATCGTTGCGTATGATCTCGTATGCGTATAATACGAAAAAAGAAGTTATTTCTTTTATAATATCTATTTCAAATGGGATATTAAATTTTTTACATCCATTGAAAAATTCAAGATACTTTGCTTAGCTTAAAAAAAAAAAAAATCCAATTGAATTTATTATAAAAGATTATCTGAATAATTATCAAATATACTTACGTATAAATCGTTTACGTATAAATTGTTTACATATAAAATTGAATTCATCTTTCTCGGTTGAATGTAGAAACATATAAGTACACGCGTTATTCAAGAATCTATAAGATTGCATGCAATAAAAAATATGAAGGGCTCAATGATAGCACTCTTCTCTATTTTCTCGAGTCGCTCGTTTTCCTTTATACACGTGCGTGATAATTGTGTGCAACGTTGCAATGCGAAGCTCGTTAGATCGTTTACCTTACTCGGGTAACTTAAATGAAACAACTTTTCGTATATATCTTGGTCTACTGAACTTAGTATCTTTTTTTGGAGAATAAACTACGCGAATTTGGCTAAATTGAAATTCCGCGAGTACTCTGATCCAGTTCGAACGCGTATTCGGCACCTTACGAAGCTAATTTCGTTACAACATTTCTCAATTTCTTTTTCTTTACTCTCTCTCTCTCTCTCTCTCTCTCTCTCTCTCTCTCTCTCTCTCTTTCTCTCTCTTTTTCATTCATCCTTGTATATATATATATATATACTTTTTTATTTTTTTCACGCGTATTATTATCGGTAAAAACGAAAGTTACGTGCTATAAGATAAATAAATACACTGAGATTTAATTAGTTTTTTGTTCGTCAAGTTAACGTTAATCAAGAAATAATGGGTTGTTAAAAAATAAATTGTTACGTCAAAAGCAAAGAGAAAGAAGAGAGAGAGAGAGAGAGAGAGGGAGGAAGAGAGGGAGGGAGAGTGATCCTTGTTTAAAAGGCTCGCTGAGAAAAGTGAAGAAAAAAGGAACGAGTCGATAGGATAACGAATTTTTTTCACGAAAATAATTATACTTCTAAGAGATATATCATGTCTCTTCTCTTTCTTGACTTTGCCGACATAAATACATAACGAAAGAAGAAAATACGATTCAATGCCCATACGAAGGAAATATTAACGCAACTAAACTTTTAAGTGTATTCACTTTACTATCGATATTTATAAATCTCCTTGAAATCGAACATATAAAAAAAAATATTTGACTTATTTCTACATCGGTTCGATTCATTTCACTTAGAGAAAGGATTTTATTTTCTTTTCTTTTTTTTTTTTTTCAAATGTGAAACTATTGCTAAAAATCAAAGAATAATTTCATGCAATCGCATACTCACGATTATTATATTCGATGGCGAACGCGATTCGCGAGAAAGTTCCAAGGAGCGTGCAAATTACAATGAACGAAGGAGCGTCCATCTTCTTTCGTAGGGATTGGATGCACTATGACAATGACGTTGACAATAAAGAAATATAGAAAAAAAAAAGAAAAAGGAGAGAAAACTCGAACACGAGAAGCTTTGTCGATGGCGGACAATCAAAAAATGTTGCAGACTCGTCGACATTGCTGCTTCTTTATACGTCGTAATCTCCTCTTCCTCCTCCTCTTCCTCCTCCTTCTCCTCTTTCTCGTTCTACTCCTCCACCTCTTCTTGCTTTTTCTTTTTCTCGTGTAAAGTACACGTATGTATCTTTAACGGGCCATGAACTTGGAGCGACGAGCATCTGACATTCGTCGGCATCGATAAAATGGCGGTGCTACCTTCAACACGGCGAGATTCGTTTTAGCTGATAAAATGCAAGGTCTGCTTTTAACTTTACTTTTTTTTCTTTTGTTTTTTTCTTCTTTTATTATCTACTTTTTTTCTTTCTTTTTTCTTTTGTTTTTTTTCTTTTTTTTTTTGTCAAGGATAGTTTTGAAACACACTCCGTTGCGTTTCAATACTCCTCTATCTTTCTCTTTCGTTTATCTATATATCTATTTATTCGAAAAAGTAGATCGAAAGTACATCTGGAAAATCGTTTGCCGCCCTTCCAATGTGACATCGGCATCATGACGATACGCGTTTCTATCGATCTCCGATAGCCTTCTCAAAGCCGCACCCGTTCGTGTGTCTATAAATTTTCACCCTCGCTCGAACTTTATGTGGCACAGAATACACGTAGAATACACGCGGTGCCGATATTCGAGGGTCCAAGGAAAATTTTCTTGTTTCTTTCTTTCTCTCTCTCTCTCTCTCTCACTTTCTCTCTATCTCGCTTTTGCTCTCGATATAGGGCAAACTTGATTTATGAGTCTACGATATACATACATACATGCATATATATATATATGTTATCTGTACAAAAATTTTTGTGTAGAATAGTGTTGAAAGATAAAATAAAAAAAAAAAAAAAGAAAAAAGAAAACGAAAATTATTAGATTAACGAGAAAATGAGAATTTACATTGACGCAAGAAAGATCCCTTCGGATCAAGCATGCAACGTCAAGGAGATTATCAAAGTATTAAATCACATGGTCACGATTTGAAATCCTGCGTCGGCTGACCGAACTATGACGAAGCAATGCGTTGAATAAACATGCTCATCGCTGATAATCACATCTTGTGTACGCGCACGCTCCGCAGAACGTTCCTGTCATCGGCAAACTCCAATCGGATTATGTACCTAGGAATGATCGCCGTGACAGTCGGATAGGATAATCGTACTATGTGGAAATTCTCCTACTGACTACATTTCCTGATGATACGTCGTAATATCGGTTACGTTGACATCTTTTCGTCCGATTATGTTCAAATATCACTATATACTATGGTATCGAAATGTTATTGGCCCTAAAGAAAATGGATCAGAGATTTCTTCGTTTTTCTTCCTTTTCTTTTTCATTTTATTTCTTTCCTTTTTTTTTTTCTTTTAATAATTAAGAATAAAAATAAAACCTCGAACGTTTTTTCTTCTATGATGATTTTCTATCGATAATTTTCTGTTTCCTCTCGATTGAGATTACCAGTCTCAAGGATAAGGGAACAATTTTTTTCTTTTTTTTCTGACAATGAATAAATTAAGCGTAAAATTTTTTATACTTTTTCGATGATTTCTATATTTTTTTCTTTTTTTCTTCACAGCTATTCATTAAAAATATCGATATTTTAACATGAAACGTACGAAACGAACTCATTAGATCGTTCGTATTATCGCGAATGATTGGAATTACATTGAAACAGAACGACATCGATGAATATAAAAGAAATGCTTTACGATCTTCTTAGAATTCATCTCGCACAAAGATCTCAAATCAGATAAACCTTCGAGCTTGTGCCCTACTGACATCATCTTATCGATCGAGGTCCGAAGGACAAACTTCTATTCTCTTATCTTTTCTTCTCTTCTCTCATTTTTTACGTTTGTCTTATGGCCATATATAAAATCGATAAAATTCAAGTTGAAAAATGTTGTCGTTTCTGTTTTCAATTTATTTATCATCAAACGGATGCCTAAACTCAGAATATATATATTTGCTGGACACGTCAAAGGAAAGCTTTGAAATTTGTCGACTATTCTTATTTGCTTTTGATACTGGCTATGAGAAAGAGAAAAAGTAGATACGAGTTTATTGGTTGCTTGAATGAATTTATTATATTTTATTGTGAGAATTTACAGAAGTGCACTGGAACCGTCGAAACTACTTCTCTCTTTCTCTCTCTCTCTCTCTCTCTCTCTCTCTCTCTCTCTCTCTCTGTTCGACGACAAAATGTATCTATGTATATCATTTAAGTTCGAGACCGTGCATAAAGAGTCGTACCCGTTTAGAAGCGCGATATCGCCTGAATTCGTCCTCTTAAATTCGTTTCCATAGAATCTCTTCTTTCGCATAAAACCATTACATTTATTCGCAAACGAGAAGCATCACCCGGAAGCTCGAAATTCTACGAGAATGAAAAGAAAGGAGTTTCGGAGAAGCTCCTTTCTTTCTTTTGACACTTTACTTAAGTAAGATACTGTAATTAGATGTTTCGCTTTGTCTTTTATAAGTAAATTAATGTACCTCTTCGTTTATTTTGATCATTAACGAATAATAATAATCTCTCTTAGATACTAATGAAATAAAGCGGAACGTTTTTAATGGAACATTTCAAAAATTGTACAGATCGTGAACGAAATGATGATATTTTGTTTTCTTTTTCTTTTTCTTTTTCTTTTTCTTTTCTTTTCTTTTCTTTTCTTTTTTTTTGTTTTGTTTTTGAAGGTAGATAATAATTCAGTTCGACGAGAGAATATCGTAAAAATAAAATTCGATCACGGTCGTCGTACGATGATTAAAATCGTGTTCGAGAGATATGAGAGAACCTCGCGGTGATCACCTTGAAGTGTGCTCGACGATTTCTTTCTTTCTTTCGGGTAGCGTATCACTAATTTGAGTCGTTTTATCTATCAGTCGAACCTGATCCTCGCTTCGAACCGATGGAAAAATATGGCCCGCAGGATCGAAACCGACGTGGAAAATGTAGAGCGTGGTGTACTTGACCGAACAACAAACGACGATCATATATATATATATATATATACATATATGTATACATATATATATACCAAGTACATACTATATAATGTGTTAGGATCACCGACAAGGTGACACTATCGGAAAGCTTTTTGTAACCGTGTTCTTTTGACTCCGTGATCACCGATCAAAACAAGTTTGGTCTCTGTCTCTTTTGCTTCTCTCTTTTTTTATCATTTCTCTTTTTATCATTTGTTTTTTCTATTCCCTTCTCTTTCTTTCTATCTTTCTTTTCTCTCTCTCTTTTTCTCTTCGATCGATCGTACATTTCTATTTTTGTCAAACGTACAGATAAATACTTTTATTATAAAAATAAATATATATATATATATATATATATATACATAGAGGAAATGTAAGACATATATGAATATGTCATAATAGATCATAATAGTAAATAATAAAATCAATTAATCAATAAATCTTTTATATCGAATGATTTGATAATGAGATGAAACATTAAGAGAATTAAAGAAAAGATTTGGTATTAGGAAAGTAATAACGTAAGTAACAATAAATGATATTTTTAAATCGATTTAGAATGAAATCTTTTGTCTATTAAGTTACGTTCCCAAGTAATATGAAAATTCACGAGCGATGAACGCACGTGCAACCGTTCCTGCACGTAACTACAAATGGAATATGAAAGTGAGAGTCGCTCGACCGTGTGTTGCTCCATCCACGTTCTGTTGAACTTGACCCACTCTTTGTACTGTGATACGAGCATGCTAACGCAACGCGTCTTGCTCTCTCGCGGCTATGCTAATATAACGAAGGACTCCTCCTCCTTCCTCCTCTTCCTCCTCTTGTATACTTTCCTTCTTCTCATTTGAGTGACACCACCTTCGGGTTAGTTTCCATCTCTCTCTCTCTCTCTCTCTCTCTCTCTCTCTCTCTCTCTCTCTCTTTGATATTCATTCACTTTCAGTCTGTCCCTCTCTCTCTTTCTTTCTCTCTCTCTCTCTCTCTCTCTCTCTCTCTCTCTCTCACGCTTACTCTCACTCTTACTCTTACTTTCTGTGTGACTCTCAGCGGTTAGACTAAAGTATTCGCGGCTGGAGACGAACTTGACCCGGTTGTCGTTAAAATAGTGACGAGGCGATCAGTCCATAAGTGAGTTGTGTCGAGCGTGTACGTGTGCGATAGTCGAAAGAAAAGACTTACAGGACGGATGCGGAAATCGTATAACGTCCTTCACCATGACGTTATATGCTCCTGCATTATGACATGCTCCTAAACATGATCGCATAACCGCGTCACGTGGACGTAAGTAAAATTTACATTGTTGAAAGATCAATATTTTCGATAAATTTTTAGTGTCCTTATTTTCTATGTTGTTTTTCCCTGTTTTTTTTTTCTTCCTTTCTTTCGTTTCTCTTTCTTTTTTCTCTCATGTTCTCTCTTTCTTTTCCTTTTTTTTTTCTTTTTTTTTTTTTCTTTGATACTTCAGTATCTGTGATATCTTGTATTACGAATATTTGCACAAATGTATAAAATTAAAGTCAAATGTTTTACAGACGCGTTTTACGAAATTAAAAAGAATTACTATATTCGATTGATTAGATCACGGACAGTTTATTTATTGGTACTTCCCTTTACTCAGGAGAAAGATAAAAAAAAAGAAAAAAAGAAATATAGCCCGAAGGAATTTCTGTTGGTTGTGTAAGTTTACTACCTCGTATGATAACACTTTAACCTACATCCCGTAGGGAAAGTCTATTTTCCTAGAGTTTCTTAAACAGCTTCTTGCGTACATGAGAGACTGTAGAAAAGTTTTAAACCGTCAAGTAGAGTACACGTAATTCGAAATTACTTCCTCGGGAGTAAACTGAACAACGATCGTCCTTTGTGATATATACACAAAATAGAAATTGCAACTGTAAGACGTAGGAATTCGTTGTTGATCTTCCTGTTCACGTATAATGAGTACTTCTGTATATGTAAGTTTGATTAAGAACGAATATATTAAAGTTTATTCAAGTGAAATATAAATGTATTAACGTAATTATAATTCTCTGTTCGTTTGTAGCATAAACACGTCTATTAATATGTTCTCTCTCTCTTTCTCTCTCTCTCTCCCCCCCTCTCTCTCTCTCTTTCAATTATGATTCTCATTATAATTAATTAACATGTAAATGAATTGTTCATCGCCTTTATTTCGAAATAAAATGAATTCACGATCGATCGATGAATATTATGCAATGTGCATCGACAAGCGTCCTATGTCCATAGAGACATACGAGATATCATTGACGTCGTTATCGATATTGACAGTTAATGCGTTATCGAAGAGACGTCTTGTCTCCTTGACTATCCGAGCTCGACTGCCTTCGTATCGTGCACGTTTGTTTCCTCAATGTATATCCCCACCTCGTTTACATCCCCACCAAGTTTATCCTACATCAAAATATAAATATATACATACACAAATGAATCTTATAATCTCTCTCGTATTTGTTTTCATTTCTTTATAATTCATTCATTTTATAATTATTCTATGATTATTTATTTTTAAATGTCTTTTAAACGTTATACATATAAACAATAATATTATAAAATTTTCGTTATTGAAGTTTAATCGAAAATTAAATGAACGAGTCCACTAATTCGTGAACGTCATTTCTTTCGATAAGTTAGAAAAATGTCTCCCTAGGTATGACATTATAGGTGTAGGAAGAAGTCGATATCGACTGTTCGCCTTGGCACGGCCCTCATTTATCAAGGAAGGGCTCGTTAATCGTATTATCTCGACGAATCATCTTCTCGACGAAAACGGCTGCTACCGAAGATTCCTTAACTGTAGCGCATGAACGTCGTTTATTTCGATAACAAAACGTTGCTATTTACACCGTTTCGATATAAAATCGAAAATGTTTGTCGGATTTGCCAAAACGAATAATTAACGATTTTATAATATATATATATATATATATATAAGTAGAAAAAGAGAAAAAGAGAGAGAGAGAAAGAGAAAAAATGCGTGAAGTTTTTACCAAAGAACCCACATGTCGTCGTTGGTAAAAAAAATAAATAGAAGACTTCCTGGCAGATAACATATAGGCCATGATGTTCGAGTGTTTAAATAGAAACGTCTGTCGCAAGATAAGCGAGGTGTCAACGACTCGTCGAGGTCGGCTAAACAAAATTTGAATGTGAAACCTTGGGACGAGACATCAGTTTAAAGTTGATTGACTTTGTATATTTGTCCTTCAATATTTGGAACATAGACGAGATCTTATCGTGTACTATATGAATGAATATTTTTTTATCTTCAGATTTATTATTACCAATCCATCGTTTACGATAACAAAATCGATAGTCTTATAAATATCATTTAAAATAACATTTAGAAATTTTATTCGTAATTGATTTTTACGTCGTATAATTTTTAACATTTATAATAGCTATTCTTGTTAACAATGCACGATTTCATCTTACCATTTGACCTTTTCCCATTTTACGAAGGTTAAAATGCGAGCGTGCACATAAGCCCGGATCGAAAAGAATGTCTTGACCGAGATTTTCTCACATTCCTACTGTATAATTTAACATCGTACTTGGATGCTCAAATTATCCTTCTTTCAACATTCATTACTTTAGATACATTAATAACGATTATAGATTCGCGCGTTTAGTTTCGATGAAAATTGATTTCCAATGTGGTTATATCAGTATATATATATGTAAGTTGATTATAATAACAAAGATGAAAAATGTAGCTAGAGAAAACTCAAAAACTCATGTATAAAAGATTTTTCTGCAATCGAGCATGGCAAATTCGTATTCGATGCGGTCATATAACAGTCTATGGGATTATCAAGTAAATTCCTTTTTTTTTTTTCTATACCCATACACCCTCTCCCTCCTACCTTTTTTCACAATTCTACTATCAAAATATGTTAAAAAAGAAAAAAAAAAGAGAGACAGACAGAGAGAGAGAGAGAGAGAGAGAGAGAGAGAGAGAGAGAGAGAGACAGAGAAAGAGAGAGAGAGAGAGAGAGAGAGAGAATGAGAGATGCGATTCTGTGCATTCGAATATTAGTTCAGCTAAAATTAATAGACGTTATTCGGATAGAAGTCGGTTGGAAATTGCAATCCTGGGAAATCGGCTGTAATTTCGTCGGTCAATCTGAAAATATCGAATCGTCTGATCGGAACGTGGTTAGGCAAAATTGTGGGGCCAGGAAAAAAAACGAACGACAAGGGAGGCCGATCTCCCAGGCGTAATCAAATTGTAAAGGTCATGATTTCTGTGGATCCACTAGAGAGAAAAAACGTAGAGAGAGAGAGAGAGAGAAACAGACAGACAGAAAAAGAGAGAGAAAAGGATAGGTATCATTGACGCGCATAGAGCGAACCAGAAATCGGATTAATTCGATGTGGGCAGCCTTGAAACGACGAGGAAAACTTTCAAGTCAGCACAAAGAGTATGACCAATCACAAGTCTATTCATAAGAGAAAAAATTTGATTTTAGAAAGCGGCCCTGTAAAGTGAAGTTATGATTACGACCGATGGCCAATATCATTTTGATTTTCTACAGACAGCGATAGATACCGAATGAAATATTTTTATTAAACACTTTCTTCTATCTAGCCTCGACTATCTAGAATTGTCCAATTTGATTTCTACCAATACGAATAGGATGAATATTTGTAATTCATTCCGACTAATACGACGCAGCTAAATTGAACGAATCTTGCGCAAGTAGTTTATATGCAAATGTCGCAGCGAATCTACCAATGTTCTCTTTTAAATCGAGTCGCGATCGAATGTCCGAACACTAATTAGCCGTACATCGTCTAATCGATATCGGCCGGACAAAATCGTACGCATTTATTCATGAAACATTATTCGATCTGAATTTTATTACCGATATTATTCTAACATACTCTTTCGAATGAAAGATTTTCCAAATGAATTACAAATGAAAAGCCGATACAAGAAAAAAAAAGAAAAAAAAGAAAAAAAAAAGAAAAAAAAGAAAAAAAAAAGAAAAAAAAGAAAAAAGAAGAAGAAATAGTGAATTGACAAAAGATCAACGAATGATCGAATTTAATATCGATCCTATCAAATTCCATCATTAACACCGATGAAGTATTTAAAAGCATATTAATAAAGATAACCGCAGCTGCGTGTCGCGGTAATGAGGAAATAATAAGGCACGAGGCATGGGCTCAACAATAATTCGTCAATGAAAATTCGTTTAATAATTTAACCAGCGCACGGAGGTCTGCTTCATTGAGCGCATTCAATTTCATTTGCATACGCAAAAAGGTTTGATTAAACGTGCACGTTCAAAGCGCATGCACCTCTCCAGCCGTGTCGGATTTACACGTCCTCTATTTTTGCGGATAGCGGTCGAACGATTTCGCGTTAAAAGTTATCTCTGTACGGTATCACGAATCTCTCTCTCTCTCTCTCTCTCTCTCTCTCTCTCTTTCTCTTTTCTTTTTCTTTTTTTTTTCAGCGATACCTTTATCCGATTTTTATTAATACAAACACCAATGCTGCAAAATCTACCTAGATGTATATCCAGGTTTCTATCGTTTAATCATGAAATATTACCGTTCAAAGGGAAACATAAATTATAATTGCCAATTGACATACCCACCATATCCATTCTCTTTTGTTCGTTTAGACTGGTCCAGCTGCATTATGAGTATTAATATCCTTAATAGTTAATAAAACAACCTGGGGAAACCAGTTTGTAATCGTTAAGGGAAATATCTAAATACTTAAATCGATAAATTTCAATGAAGTCAAATATGATTAAAACTCATTTTATCTTTATCCCTTTCATTTGTACTATCTTGATTTCAGACAGATTACAATACTTACAATACCTTTTCGTAACTTTTTTGAAAGCAACATGGTTGAAGCATGAGAGAAACGATATCAGTAACAGTAGCAGTATTGTGGCGATCCCATTTAAATTCTTCGCTCGGTACACGCGAATACGCGAGCGTTATAGCTACGTTGCATACATCACGCGCCGTTGCCCACGATCTATCCATTGATTTCATCTCCGTCCATCCGCAGTAGCTACTCCGTAGATATTCCCATCGCTCGTATCGCCAAAGCTTTTTGTGATCCAACCAAACCACAGGAACCCCTTCATCCCTTTTCTCTCTCTCTCTCTCTCTCTCTCTCTCTCTCTTTCTCTCTTTCTCTCTCTGTATGTAACCATTTCTTTCTCTCGCTCTATTTTTCTTTTTTATTTTATTTGTTAGATTCGAACGAACAACGCGAGTGTGCGTATACGTGC